CAGCACCGACGTGAAATCAATTGAGCACGACGACCACAACAAAAAAAAAAGAAGATAACCGACGAGGTGGGGACCGGAGCTAAAAAGATGGATGGTGGAAGTTCCTGAGTCTGGTGAAGATTTATAAGAGCAAACGTCGGGACGTTTTGGAGGGTGGGGAGCTTTGTGAAGTTGTGACGATTGTGATGATAATGATTGCGCGATTGAAATATGCCGCCTGTATATTTTGTGAAATTGTGACGATTGTGATGATAATGATTGCGCGATTAAAATATGCCGCCTGTATATTTTGTGAAATTGTGACGATTGTGATGATAATGATTGCGTCTTTGAGGCGTGCCGCCTGTATATATCTATATATTTTAATAGACATTCTATGCATGTATATTTTGTTATTTGATATGCTATATATGCGACGCTGCTGTGCTGTTTTGTATATAGGGAGTATAGCAATATATGGGACGCGTGCTACGCGCTGTTGTGAGTATAGGAAGAGTATAGATGTGAGTATAGAATTTTCTATGATATAGAAAGCGTTATGTAGATAGGGCGGTGAAAACATATACAAGGCCGCAAGTTGAGATATAGGAGGCTGGTCGTTTGTTATTTTTATTTTAGGTTTTGTTTCTAGCTTGGTAGTTATATTATTAATAGATTAATTTTGGATTTATCGTTTTTTTTAATAAAGACAGAGGTTTGATTTGTATTATTTTGTTTGTTATTTTGTTTCTTTTATTGAATAAAAAAAGTGTACACTTGAAATTTGGCTCGGCTTAATTATTCTACCTAAAATAATGGATGTTGAAAAAGACTTGCTGATAGTTGACGAGGTCGGCGTCTCTAGTCAACAAGCAGGGCGCGAACAAACTTTCGCCCAGCCCGTGTTTTCAGACCCTGAAAGGGTCTATTGTAGAGTGGCGGATCCCGGCCAGGAAAGACTCCGCCGAAGCGAAGGCTCGGGTGGATATTCGTATGCGGACGCGGTTCGAGACCGCGTGGTGCGGAATTCGGATGTCACCCGGCGAAAATCTACATATATATATATATATATATATATATATATATATATATATATATATATATATATATATATATATATATATATATATATATATATATATATATATATATATATATATATATATATATATATATATATATATATATATATATATATATATATATATATAT